TCCTGCTGATCCTGCTATTGCTGCTGATCCTGCTGTTGCTGCTGATCCTGCTATTGCTGCTGATCCTGCTGTTGCTGCTGATCCTGCTATTGCTGCTGATCCTGCTGTTGCTGCTGATCCTGCTATTGCTGCTGATCCTGCTGTTGCTGCTGATCCTGCTGATCCTGCTATTGCTGCTGATGCTGCTGATCCTGCAGCTGATTTGGGTCGAGATGAGGATGAAGATCAAGCCCACAGAACATTCATTTCACATTACTACAGGAACATGTTCTTAGTGGTGTTATTATGTTTTTTAGTGCACAATCCGTAAAGAAACGTCAAGGTTTTGTCTAGTTTTATACACCTACAATGCTGAAAAGCACAGACCTTTATCCAGCTGACGTAGAAGAGAGCGTGGGCGCAGTGCTTATGACGTCAAGCGGAACGCGCCATTCAGAGAATGCAAATAAAAGTCCTCCCCAAAAATCTAAATGCGTACAGTCATGGCTTCATTGATCTCCTCTTAAACTCTCCCGATAAGGCCCGTTTCATACAAAAACAATAAAAGTCTCTAGGGTAGATATTTGCTTTCTAAAAAACCAGAGAGACTTATGTCGATGCTCAGACTTGTGGAAAAATAGCATTGATAACATTGATTAGAAAGTCTGTAGTAATGAACTCATTAATTTTCTCAGCTTAGTAAGTGGACTTTTAATTTGCCTCTCCTCATAAGAACTGTTTATAGTGTATAAAACTACACAAAACGTTCAAAAGTGGTCAAGTTTTTCTGACTGATAAGCTCCCAACAGCATGATAACATTATTTAATGTATGGTTACTATCATAACATACATGTTAAATAATGAAAATAATTATTGAATGTAATATTTTAATATTGTATGTGTTGATAAGTGATATCTGTCGTGAATGTTGCAAAATTAAAAAAAAAAATTGTGAGTAAAGCGAATCGGATTTACTCGTGTTTCTTTTTCTTTACATTGATTATTTCTATTCTCTCTAATGTGATGAAGGAAAACTACAGGTGTAATAATTTAGCCACATACTATCATAAACATGAAGCTTATTAAAGATGAGAGTGAAGACATGAGTGATGCAGAAACATGCGTCAGAGGAAGAAACTGAAGAGCAGAGGTGTGTGTGTGTGAGAGAGAGAGAGAGTGTGTGTGTGTGTGTGAGAGAGTGTGAGTGTGTGTGTGTGTGTGTGTGAGAGAGAGAGTGTGTGTGTGTGTGTGTGTGTGAGAGAGAGAGATTGTGAGTGTGTGTGTGAGAGAGAGAGATTGTGAGTGTGTGTGAGAGAGAGATTGTGAGTGTGTGTGTGAGAGTGAGATTGTGAGTGTGAGTGTGTGTGTGTGTGTGTGTGAGAGGGTGTGCGAGTGTGTGTTTGTGGGGTTGTGTGTGTGTGAGAGAGAGAGAGTGTGAGTGTGTGTGTATATATAAACATAAACAAGCTTTAATTTAGCATGTCTTCATATGTAATTTACAGATGCTCTAACAGTGAGTTGTGCCATGTGCATGTCACGTGATTTCAAAGAATGTCACATCACACTATTATTATTATTTTGAAGTTTAATTACATCAGCGTGGTTAGACACTTAATCACACTTGTTTAAATAATCTTGCTTTGTTCAATAATGCAGTAATGTTATAATAAACCTTAGTATGCAAAATGAAGTTGTGTTGGGTTAAATGAGTATCAGCGTGACCTAGTGGATATTATAAATATTATAAAAATGAGACATTTTTCTCAATTTTCTAAGTAGTTAATTTCCATTCCTGATCAAACACACTTGTCAAGTGGCACAAACCTGTAGGAGTGAGATTGCAGCTTTAGTAACCGAGTGTGAGTCAGTGTTGTTTAAAAACACAAAATATAAATTGTATCATTTATTACTATGCATACAGTACGTTGTAAAACTGCTGTAAATGTAAATGCAGGTGCAGCAAAAACATTTAGATTTTTCATTGCTCTAAACTTGGTTGGATTTTACGGCCATTCAATAAACTGTTAAAACCTGTACATGTGACCATCCTGTTCTGATCTTTATCTTGGACTCATGAGCAAAACAAACACTGGGAGTATTGTTCCTCAAATGGCACTAGAGTCAAAAGTTTGCCCTATAAAAAAAGAAGAACTGAATACAACAGTAAAGTGATAAATGTTTTTAAATATAATGTATCATGAGTGTAGCAACATATTATGATGCTGCATTATTCCTCAAAACTAACAGAAATTTGAATAAAAGCAGCTGCGACTTGAATGCATGTAATTTCTGTCACATTCTGTGTTTACACTTCAGTCTGCACTGAAGCCATTAGAACGATTCTGGCATCTTCTGCTATGTCATTCAGAGCTCTTCTCAGCATTTTTGAGACGGTCATATAGGACATTCCTCCTGCCACCACAGTGCCAAGTAAGGGTATGAGACTCACAGCATACTCAACTGCATTTTCAGCCACAACCAGAAATGCAGCACCCGCTAAGGGTAATATTGAAGCTGGGTTTAACCCACCAATCAGTGGCGACTTCATTAGACTTTTGAATTCGTCAATGGTCTTCCCAGATCTTTCACAGAGCTTCTGCAGGGATGGATCATCTAGACCAAAGGTACTGTAGTACGTTTCTATCTCCCTTTTAACAATGGCTATATCCACAGCAACTGAAAGACCAGGTAAAGGGGTTGTAGCCACCAAAGCAGACAGTAAGGCAACTTTTCCAATGTTTTCCTCTAGAGCTTTCTTCTTTTTCTCATTGATCTCGAGTGTGATATTCGGCAAAGCCAACATCAGCACACGTCTCTTATGCTGTGGAAGCTCTTGCTCCATTCTCTCCTGCAGCAGGTTTAAATCATACTTGCCGAGCTCAAAGCTAGAGATCAAAAACACGACAGGATCCTCTATACCGATCTTTCTCAGACCTAGACAGAAACAGGAAAGTGCATCATGAAATAAGTCATTAAATATTTTATAATAATTACTGTATCTAATAATAAACATTGTTGTGTGACCTGAATAACCAACCTTTTTCACCGTCCTCTCGGATGATATGCAATGTCCTTTTCTGGTCAAAGCTCTTCTTCCTCTTCTCAGCATCAATGCTTAACTCAATCTTGGAACGAACAAAATAAAACCTTTTCCCCATTCTCATAATCTCTTTGGCCAGCTGAGTGTGGCATTCTCTGAACCGATCTGAAGCGATGATGATGAAAAAATCATAGCGTTCAAACTCCACCAGTTTAAGGTACTCATCGGCTTTGAAGTTTGGTGTTCCAATGCCAGGAAGATCCCACACTTTCACATTTTGGTATTTTGGGTGAAGATAAGCTTTAGGCTCCATAGTGGTTTCTACAGGGCCAGTTTGAGCAGAGCCCTCTTCTTCATCCCCTAAACCCCTGAATGCATTGACAAACGTGGATTTTCCAGAACCGGACTCCCCCGTCACACCAACGTTAAGTTCTACCAGATCCTGTTTTTCAAGGAATTCTTTGATCACGTTTACCGCTGTTGGAAGATCCTGAGTAGATATTAATTCTTTAATATCTTCCAGGTCCTCCTGAGTTATTATATCGAAATCATCAAACATAGCCATCTAAAAAACAATCACGTCAAATTCAGCAATGTTATAAAAAGAAACTGTTGAAAATATGTAGCAAAAATTGCTCTGTAACTAACGTAAACTTTGTTCCCTGAGATAATGAGAATGAGCCTTACATTAATTTTAACACTATGGGGAACTCCGTTTCTCCAAAATACTGAAGCCTGATTTGATAACATCCATGTAGCTGCACAAACAAACTGCATTTTGTCTCAGTCAGTGCTGACCATAGACTGTATAAAAACACGGACGTAGTGTCCGTGATGTCACCCGTAGGTTTCTGAAGAGCGGTTTTGAAGCTCAAAGTGGGCGGAGCCGGCCGTCACATCTTGGCAGCGCGTCACTCCCGGATAATCGAAAATGGGCAAAGAGCTGGTTGCTGAAACCACGCCCACCTAGCTCGACGGTGGTGACAGCAGCGGCAATCCACCTGTCACTCAAGTGGCCACGCCCTTAATTATGCAGAACTTTAAGGCTTAATACAAGTTAAACGGATGAGTTATAAAAAAATTCACCCGCCTCACAGTTGTCATGAAGGGCAAAATTAGCTATATAGACCAAAATAATTTTTTGTACCAGGCTGTAAAATTTTTTTTTTCTGCTGTAATGTTGGGCATTTTAACATGAGGAGTCTATGGCACTGACTCTCTTTTGAGCCTCTAGCAGCCAGTCGATGAATTACAGTTTTAGTCACTTCCGTGTTGGCTTCACGAGAGAGAGCGGGAGGTTGCCGCTTGGTGCTGAGTGCCATTTCATCAGAATATTTTTCTCTGGGAACTGAGGTTACGTTAGTAACCGGAGCTTTCCCTATCAACATGGTTCACTCACACTGCATTAGCTTTAACGCTATGGGGAACAATATCCAATAGTTCCATGCTACAAGCGCAGAACGAAAAGCCGTCCAGCGTTGTGTGGGCTAAAATTAGGCCAGAACTAACCCAGAATCAGTGAGACCCAGGCCATGAGGCTGGAGTCCTCAGGGCAAAAATGGCCAAAACAGGCCTGACCACCAGCAGGGGCATAGGTTGTTTAGGTGGGCAAAATCCATGGCTGAAGGTTGTAAAACCTAAAAAAGGTAGACAGCGAAGACCAGCCGGCTGATGTACAGATAACGCCAATGGAAACTCTGCTGGACCATGCCTAGGAGGAGGCCATACCCCTGGTGGAGTGGGACCTCACTCCAATGGGGCACTGTAAGCTCAATGAGGTGTAAACCAGCATTATGGCATCTACTATCCAGTGGGATAATCTTTGCTTCATAACTTCAAGAGCAGCCTCCGAAGCACACAAAGAGCTGCTTTGATTGCCGAGCCTGGCTAGAATGCTTCACATATATCCCGAGAGCCCGAACTGAGCAGAGTAATTGTACACCCTGCTCATCCTCCAAAGCAGGAAAAGCTGAGAGGGTAATAACCTGTGCTCTGAGTGGAGTAGAGAGCACCTTAGGCACATAGCAGTGTCTTGGCTTGAGGAAGACTTTGCGGTTGTTAGGCCCACAGAGAGTGCCTGCAGGTCACTCACTCACTTGATCGATGCAAAAGCCAGCAGGAGGACGGTCTTAAGCGAAAGGGGCCTCAATTCAGCTGGAGGACCTCAAAGAGCCCTGAGGACCGTGGATCGGTCCCAGTTCGGAACAGCCCAGATTCAATCCCCTGGCTCCCCTCAAGAACTTCACAACTTCATGAAGTTGTTCTTTCCTACTGACTGGCCGGTCAAGGGAGCTTGGTTTTCCACAACAGCCATCACATATACCTTGAGTGTGGAAGGGGTGCGCCCCTTAACCAGCAGCTTTTGTTGGAAGGACAATATGGACGTAATGTCACAAGACAAAGGGTCATTCCAGACTGCTCACCAGTCAGAGAAAATGAACCACTTGAGGGCATAGGGATGTCTAGTAGACAGGACTCTGGCCTCTGAAATAGTTTTAATGACCCTTACTTGAAGCTGCAGAGGGTCCTGTCGATGTTGGGGTCCCCCTATCGGCCAAGGGGCTGCTGACAGCAGCTGTACTAATTCGGGGAACCAATGTTGTTTCCACCAGAGTGCTCTCTGGTTCAAATTGCCCTGCACGTGCACTGCCTTCAGAAAGTGCAGGTTGCTCTATGCCCATATAAGGAGGCGCCACACCATCTTGTAAAGAGGCCATGATCTAAGACCACCTTGGTGGTCTATGTAGGCCACGTTTTCCGAACGGACCAGAACGTGGCACTCCTTTAGGGCTGGCAGGAAGGTTTTGAGAGCCAGAAAATAACACCATCATGTCCAAGCAGTTGATACATTGGCATTACTCCAAGCTGGGCCAGGAGCTGAATGCCAGTCTGCTCTAGTTCAGTGCTCCCCAACCTGAGTTGGAAGCATCTGTCATGATTATCTTCCTTCTGGAGACCAGTCCCAGCTGATACAGGCAAGGGGCCTTCCAAGGGCCACAGCCCTGACACAGTTGTGGGTTACCCTGAGGTGGAGGTGTCCCAGACATCAAGCGTAGCACGCAGGCTTCCAGCCAGTATTGAAGGGGCTGCATGTGGAGCAGGCCCAGCGGAACCACAGAGGAGGCGGCTGCCATCAGGCCCAGCATCCTCTGTAATGTCCTGACGGGAAGAGAGACCCATACTTTGAATGATGCCACAAGCCACTGAATATTCAGAGCGTATTCCTGTGCAAACCAGGCCCACATCTGGGCCGAGTCTAGAACTGTTCTCAGGAAAGCGATTCACTGGCTGGGAGACAGGGAGCACTTGGCTGAATTGATCCTGAGCCCCAGGTGTTCCAAGTGGCTGAGGAGCAGAGATCTGTGGGCACAAGCTCGTGATCCGACTTGGCCAAGATGAGGCAGTCGTTGAGGTAGTTCATGATGCACACTCCTTTCTGTCTCAGAGGAGAGAGGGCCGTGTCCATGCACTTCGTAATGTTGCGTGGTGCCAGAGACAGTCAGAATGGGAAGACTGTATATTGTTAAGCCACCTCTTTGAATGCAAATCTCAAGAACTGTCTGTGATGAGGGGATATCTGGATATGAAAGTAAGCATCTTTCAGATCCACCGATAAGAAGCAGTCACCTGGGCAAACATGCAAGAGGATCTATTTCAAAGTCAACATCCTGAATGGCCACTTCATCAGGGCACGGTTCAGGTGCCTCAGATCGAAGATGGGCCTGAGGCAACTGTCCTTCTTAGAAACAACGAAGTAGTGGCTGTAAAACCCTGACTCACTGAGAGCTGATGGGACTCTGCGCCCTTGGCCAGGAGATACTGTATTCTGGATAAGAGAACATGAGTATCTTTGCCCTGGACTGAAGTTTGTCAATGAGGCCCTCTGGCGACTTGAAGAGCATGCACCTTCTGCTCTGCGCTGTCAACGGAGGTGAAGGTGGAGACTGAAAACGGACGTGGACCGAGAAGGGGGCATGCCAAGACGTAGTAAGTTCATTGTGAACTTCAGGAAAGAACAGGGCAGGTCTTTGACTTGGAGCTCACTGGCAGCACCCAGGCTGCAGAAGCCATTCGTTAAGTCAGCTGTGGCAGGCTCATCTGGAGCTGACCACTACAAGCTGAGGTCCTCAACGGCCGTTATGAGGACTAGTATAAGTCGGTGTCCAGACTGGTTCTGGCATCACTTGGCTCTCTATGTGGCAAAGGGATAGAGTCCTTCACAGAGTTCACCCAATCCTCTGCATCAGAAGCTGTCAATGACACAGTATCATCGGCAAAATCCTCCTCAGAAAACCCAAAAAAGGACCAACCGCTTACACGTGACAAGGGATGCTGGTCCTCATGGCAAAAGAGCACAGAGGAATCCTCTCACTGTGGGGGGAGTGAAAAACACGGGATCTGAGTCATCGCGAGCTCACTCGGACCTGTCTGCTTTGCCCCATTACTCCACAATTTTCTCTTCCGAGGCTCCTGAGAGGAAGAAAACAGGGGAGCACAAGTGTGGGGTCGCTATCTGTAAAGAAAGCAATTCGCAATTCGCAATGCCATTTGTTAGTGCAGCTACACGAACGTTATCAAATCAGGCTTTCCAGAGTTTCCCCATAGCGTTAAGGTTAACGCAGTGCGAGTGAACAGTTTAAGCCTATTTTAAATGTCAGATGCCACTTTCTCTGTAATGTACAATTTTAACTCAAATGTGATGTCCTGTTTTATCTGTTGGGAGGTTAAATGGTCCGTCAACTAAACATTTTATAATTTTATTATGTAAGGTATTTCTCAGTTTCTCTCTCTATAGATCATTTCAAGACATATGACTCATTCATACTGTATATTCAATCATTTAATGTATACTCAATACAAATATATTTCACAAATTTTTCAAGTTCAAAATGAATTGCCCTGCACACTTCAAAGTAAACGTGCACATCAATCTGAAATGTCTTTCAAGTGTTAAGTAAATACATATGCATATTTTTATTTATACAACTGTACAGTAAATAATGCACACATCTGTACATAAATCTTCTGTTCCAGATTTTACCACATTACTATTATTAGTTTTTTTCTTTAGTCTTACTTATTTAATAGTTTTTTTCTGTTCTCATGTCATATGTAAGTATGTATGTAACATGAGCTCCTAAACAAACACAGCTAATTCCTTGTGTTTGCACACACTTGGCGAATAAAGCTGATTCTGATTCTGAAATGTACATCTTAAATGAAAATGCAAAAATAAAACAATGAATTGGTATGGACTCTTGCATGTTTTCAATCTCACCTTTGTTTCAGAGCACGAGACACGAAGATTATTAGACTTGAGAAGTCACGTGCTGTTGTTTCCTTCACAAATGTGAAATTCACTGCTGTTCAAAGAAAAGTAAGTTCAGTCAAGATGTGCAAATAAATGCATAATTACCCTTAGAATGTGAACCCTAATTGATTCATCATGCATGTTACATTTATGGAAACCCGTTTCCGACACTGGATGAAAAACTTAAGGTAAATGCGACTTTTTATCTCCCAGTTCTTCATTTTTTCTCAGAATTGCGTATTTATGTCTCGCAATTCGGACTTTAGCTAGTATATATCTCGCAAAATTACGAGTTTATATCGCGCAAAAAGCTCAGTGAAACAGTAAAAATGCATTGCAATGTAGCCGATTAGGCTGTATCTTTCTTACCAAATTCTTCTGAGCAGCAAAAAAGACCCTGACAGCACAGCATACGATCTGAAGTGAAGCCTGAGAAGACCTGACCTGAACTTTTCTAGGCTACTTTATGCAACACAAGAGCAGAGCATCCACCCAATAAATACTTTCACTTTCCTTATCACCACAGTAACACGTATCAGAGGCATGTCAATATTTGGTCAGAGTTCATTAGTTCATATCATTAACACTCAGAGGCATTGCTAGACCCATGTTTACTGCAGCGTAGCCTATATATGTACTGAAAAGACTTTGGCACTATCTGTGCATGTCGAAATGAAAGACCAGCAACAGAAACTCTAGTCACACAGGAATGCCAGTACAATATTTGCTTCTAGAGTTTTTCCACTAATGTCTAATAGCACTAGTGTTGTGTACACTTATGCAATCCCTTGAAAAGAGTTGAAGATTGCAGCAAAGGCCACACAGAACATAGGAAAATGTGATCACTTTAAATTAAGTAATTGTGTCAAATGCATTAAATAAATGTGATGGCTCTGAAAATATAATTAATTTACTTGATTATAAAGTCAAGTCGAGCTTTATTTATACAGCGCTTTATACAGTACAGATTGTGTCAAATAGTGTCAGTGATGCAAGAGGACAACAGAAAACCAACATTAACACAATAGAATGAAACTGATTCATTCCGTTAACACTATATTGATTTAATAAAGATTCATAAATATCTGTAAATGATATTTATGTTATTGTCAATATTGTGTGTTTCAGGGTCTATGGAAACCTGAGCTGTACTTGATGTAAAATACACGCAAATGAGAACAATCCTTGATTAATGATTACAAGTGAATAAACATTTAAGACAAGCTGGTCTGAGTAAGACATTTTTTCAAGATATTTTAATCAGAACTCTTTAAGGACAGATTTTTTTCTGAAGAATGACTCGGGCTCAGCGCTCATGATGCAATATTTGCTTTAATAAAAGTACATCTCTATAAGTGGATGATTTAACAGAAGCTGGATCTCATTCTGTTCCTTTTCAGTTAATGATTTCACTGACTCGATCAACCTCGAGCAGCACTGAAACAATTACAGCAATGCAAGTGTACGAGCAATCATAAATCAATGAAGATTTGTAACTTTAACACAGATCGTTATGTGAAAGACAGCAGGCTCATGTAGGTGTGTTTAACATTGTTCACATTCTGAATCCCAAATGACATTAACCGTGGAGCTCATTAACCGTGGAGCTCATTAACCGTGGAGCTCTTATTTCTCACATGGACTTAAATTTTGGGCAGTGCTCCTTTCTGTGCATCAGTGCAACGCTCGTTCACACCAGAGTGTATTTTCAGATGGCCTTTAAAACGAATCAGCCATGCAAAACTCTTCCCACAAACACAACACAAGTAAGGCTTCTCTTTAGTGTGCGTTTTCATGTGGGCCTTCAGGTCTGATTCCAGAACAAACCTCTTATCGCACTGATCACACTTAAAGGGCTTTTCTCCGGAGTGAAAGCGCTTATGAATTCGGAGACTATTTGACCATTTGTAGCTCTTCCCGCACTGATCACACGCAAACGGCTTCTCTCCGGTGTGCATGCGTATGTGACTATCAAGGTTGCCTTTAGTTAAAAAATACTTTCCACAATGAGGACAAGAGAATGGATTTTCTCCAGTGTGAACCCTCATGTGACAACTGAAGTGGTCTTTCCGTCTGAAGCTCTTTTCACACTCGGGGCACTTGAATGGTTTCTCATTACTGTGAACCCTTAGGTGAGAGTTAAGGGTTCCTCGACTCGTGAAAGTCTTTCCGCACTGCTGACACGCAAACGGCTTCTCTCCGGTGTGAATGCGTATGTGAATCAGAAAGACTCCTTTACGTGAGAAACTCTTTCCACACTGAGGGCATGTGAACGCTTTCTCTCCGGTGTGAACGCTCAAGTGTTCGTCTAGGTTTCGTTTACTTGTGAAGCTCTTTCCACACTGACGGCATGTATTATCATTGTTCTCCTCTTCAATAAACTCCATCGTGTTATGCGGTATGGAGGACCAGATCTGAAAAGTAATGTATGGGTAATATAGGCCACAGTATTAATATGAGAGAGATATATCCGAGTCCACTTTAGTTACAGAGAGACACCTGCTAGACATTACAATTATTCACAACATCTAAACTATGAGCACTTACCAAACACAACAGAACAAGATCACAGGACTGAAGAGTTCCAGTTGTTATTGTCCTTCTTCTATGGTTTGTGTTGTTTTTGGCGGTGAGCAAAGAAATTAAGATGAATTACCGCCACCTACTGAACTGGAGGATGGAGCTTAAAGGGACTTAAAGGGATAGTTCACCCAAAAATGAAGATCACCCGATACTTTACTCACCCTCAAGCCATCCTAGGTTTACGCTTTATTGGACTATTGAATATCACCCATTCACTGCCATTATAAAGCGTAGAGGAGCCAGGACATTTCTGGGTGAACTATCCCTTTAAAGTGTTGCTACGCAAAAAGCTAAATTAATATAAAGGCAAGACACAAATGATCACACCGAGGGCTGGGAAAGATTTAAATCTGCTTTAAGGAGTTTATCAGGTTCCCAAACATTCTTCAAAATAACTTCTTTTATGTTCCACGGAGGAAAGAAAGTCATACAAGGTTTTTTAAAAAAAAAACATGAAGGTGAGTAAATGATGAGACTTTAGATTTTTGGGTAAACTATCATTTTAATCAATTTTAATCAATTCACAGCATTGTTACTCAGCCCTCAACACTTTGATTGGATTATTTAAAAGAAACTATTGTTTCTAGATTCTTATTGTTAGTGCACTGCTAATATCCTGCAAGTATTAATTACATCAGTTATTAATTATATTAATACAGCTGATCACTCGTATTAATTATGGTTTGCTATTTTTATGTGTTGCTGTTCTGCATGTGTAATGCTTTATTTCTGTATGTAGGCTATCCTGTTAGTCCAGAGTGTTTGGCAAGGTTGTTTATTTGCATCTAAACTTCACTGAAAAACTTTTAACATCCTTAAAATGATCTTTAAAGTGGAAGACTACAAGTCGTGCCTATACACTTCCAAGTTAAATATGATCAAAATGACACACTGTATCATTTGTTAGATTGAAATGTGTGCCATTGATTGTTGTGTAACATTAAGCTCCGTCATATGCATCACAAATATGTTATTGAAGTCCTTCACTGACATTAAAGGTTCTGACTGTATTAACATTAATATCTACACAATCCGCCTGGAACTGGTTTAAGATTTATTAAATCATTATGTTATGAGCATCCTGTAGTGACCAGTCCTTTTTATTATTTATTAGAATGATAATTTATGATCTTTTAATATCTCATGTGTTAAATGAATTAGTATAATTAGTACAAACTGTTCAACTGATGGAAGTACAGTTTGTAAACTACATGTTGTACAAAACACAGACATTTAATAAAAACTCATTTTGTTTTGCGGTGTATTTTGTGGCAGTATATGGTTTAATGAGGTGAAGGGATATCTTTATAATAATAATAAATAAAAAATGTGAAGTGTGTAGAAATGTGAATACTGATGCAAGACAAATCCTGTATTTAGAAAGCTAGCATAGACCTGCTGTGCACAAAAGTAACTTCATCCACAAGAGTCTCTAAAGATGAACAAGCATTGAACATTTATTACGTCTTTTGTTCAGAGCGATGCACTGACGCTTTCACTCATGATAGTGTCATGATCTAAAATCTCACTGATCTCATTCAGTTCTTCATTATGACCGACAGAAAGGCAAAGTTCAAAGTGAAGCATCCCACATCAATATATCTTTTGCACTACTGCTGCTTCAACACGAGAGAAAGACCTCGGACACATGGCACTCCACTGCGACCCACTGCTCTGAGCTATTCATCATTTAAAACATGCTCTCAGATGATGTCTGCCATGTCAGCTGGGTTACGCTTAGATAAAACACGATATAATAACAGATACAGTAATTGACAGACGTTTTATTTTTAATAACATCCATCGAAGTGATCCTAAACTGACTTTGTCAGCAGGATATACACTACTGTTCAAAAGCTTGGGATCAGTAAGTCTCTTCTGCTCATCAAGGCTGTGTTTATTTGATCAAAAATACAGAAAAAAAACAGTAATCTTGCAAAATGTTATTACAATATAAAACAATGGTTTCTATTTGAATATCCTTTAAAATATAATTTATTTCTGTGATGCAGCGCTGAATTTCCTTCATCATTACTCCAGCATAAAGTGTCACATGATCTTCAGAAATCAGTATAATATGCTGCTTTATGATTAGAATGATCAATGTTGTGCTGCACAATATTATTTTTGGAAACTGCGATACTTTTTCAGGATTCTTTGATGACTAAAAAGTTAAAAAGAACAGCATTTATTCAAAATATAAATCTTTTCTAACGATATAAATCTTTGCTATCACTTCTTAACAATTTAACACATCCTCGCTGAATAAAAGTTTGAATTTCTTTCAAAAACAAAGAAAGAATAAAAATGTACCGACCCCAAACTTTTGAACGGTAGTGTACATTGTTAGAAAATATTTATATTTTAAATAAACGCTCTTCTTTTTAACTTTTTATTAATCAAAGAATCCTGAAAAAAGTATCACAGGTTACAAAACAATATTAAGCTGCTCAACAGTTTCAACACTGATGATAAATCAGCATATTAAACTGATTTCTGAAGATCATGTGACACTGAAGACTGGAGGAATGATGTGTATTTTTGATTGAATAAATGCAGCCTTGATGAGCAGAAGAAACTCCTGTAAAAAAATCATTCTGATTCCAAACTTTTGACCGGTAGTGTACCTTAAGTCTTCTCACAATATCACTTACAAAATATCTTCATGGAACATGATCTTTACTTAATATCCTAATGATTTTTGGCATAAAAGAAAAATGTATAATTGTGACCCATACAGTGTATTGTTGGCTATTGCTACAAATATCCCCCAGCGACTCAACACTGCTTTTGTGCTGCAGGGTCACAATTATAATAATAGATACAGTAACTGCCTGATGTTTTATTTTTAATACAATTCTTCGAGGTGATACCAGACTGACTTTGTCAGCAGATACACCTCTCTCAATAAATATCACCGTCCGCACTGTTATTCTGGCAGAAATTCCACCTTTGATTCAATCGGCAGTGTTGCACCTGAGGACGAGCTCTGTTCATCCGGAGGCTTGAAGAAGAACTGCGTCAGCTTCGGACAGCTCTGCTGCTTTAAATGTCTCAGCAAATGGCTGAACTGGCTGAAACTGCCTCCGCACGAGGGACACTGGTAGGGCTTCTCTCCGGTGTGCACACGCTCGTGTTTCTTCAGGTTTCCGGACTCTGCGAAGCTCTTTCCGCAGCACGAGCAGGTGTAGGGTTTTTCTCCGGTGTGGGTCCTCTGGTGCATCCTCAGCTCGCTGGCTCTCGTGAAGGCGCTGCCGCACTCGGAGCACACGTGAGCTTTCACGCCCGTGTGCTTCTTCTGGTGGTCTTTAAAATAGCAGAGCCACAAGAAGCTCTTCCCGCAGAAGGAGCACACATAGGGCCTCTCGTTGGTGTGGATCCTCAGGTGTCTCTTCAGGTGCGCCGCTAGAATGAATTTGTGTCCGCACTGATCGCAGCTAAAGGGCCGCTCTCCGGAGTGCGACAGCAGGTGAGTCTTCAGACTCGTGGCGTGTGTGAAGCTCTTCCCGCACTGATCGCAGGAGAACGGCTTCTCTCCCGTGTGGATCCGGATGTGATCCGTGAGGTTGGCTTTATGCGTGAACCTCTTCCCGCAGTGCTGACATGCGAACCGTCTCTCTCCCGAGTGAATCCTCATGTGATCCTTAAGGTTTCCTTTATGCGTGAAGCTCTTCCCGCAGTGAAGGCACGCGTAAGGCTTCTCTCCGGTGTGAGTCCTTATGTGATCGTCGAGATGTCCTCTCTGTCTAAAACTCTTTCCGCAGTGAGAACAGATGAGCGCTGTTTTCAGCGTGCTTTTATTTTCAGTGTCTGAGCTACTTAAGATTGCATGAGCTTCCTCCTCCTCTTCATTCAGCTCGTGACTTTCCTCTTTCACCTCTGAAACTAACACAGAAAACTTTTAGTGCATGCAGTGTGCTCACACTAAAAACTCCAACAATAGAAAGTGCACTTAACCTGTTTAATCCCAAATTTTACTAGCATCAATAATAATTTTTTGGGGAAACATTGGGTCACAATTAATGTGTATACTTAATTAACATATTTCTGCAGTCATCAGAATTCTTATATATCTCAGCCCAGCTATTTTAAACTGTTTCCTCACACTCTAGGGTTAGTATTATGCATAAAACCCCTTATACAACACTGATATGAATACTGAGATAAAAGACGGAAAAAAAAATACAACCATCAATGTATTTCAAAATTGTTACTTTATTGTAACATATATCATAAAACTGTTACATTAGTGCTACTAGTGCTACAACATCAATATTGTAACTTATCTGTAACATTTGAATTCAGTGCAGCCTTCACTCACGTGCACTCTCCTTACGCAAAGGTTACAAATGAACCTTTTAACCCTCCTACACTAGATGGTTGACTACATAGTGTATAGCACATCAGATTGGGACACAGCTTTTACGTATGAAGGCATGTTATTTTAATACGGTGCAACATCAACAGACAGCATCATAGTACATATATGATTTATATAAATGAGTGACATAATCGTGAACCAACCTTTTTGTTCCTCGGGGTCTTCCTTTAATATCTTGAATGGTTCTGGATCACTCACGTCCCCAATCAGCACTCGGACGATCTCCATCCTTTCAGCAGTTCGCCTGTAAACGCCTGATTCGCTCGCAGCTGTGGGAGGAGCGGGAGGAGCAGCTGTGGGAGGAGCAGCTGTGGGAGGAGCGGGAGGAGCAGCTGTGGGAGGAGCGGGAGGGGCAGGAGCAGCTGTGGGAGGAGCGGGAGGAGCAGCTGTGGGAGGAGCTGCTGTGGGAGGAGCAGCTGTGGGAGGAGCGGGAGGAGCTGCTGTGGGAGGAGCTTCACTGGAGACCTCCATCCAGATCTGACTAAAAATTCAATAATGAAAAAAAACAAAACAATCAGTGCATCTTCTAGTAATACTACAAACAAAATTGCAACGAGTTTTATTCAACCGTGTTAAACATTGGCTTTTGTCGTTTTATCGCAAATGCATTATAATTAAAAGGACAGACACGTAACTGGACTGACAAATCATCACAATG